CATTAAGCCTTCCTTCCTAGTTCTGCATTGTAAAGTATATCATTAAACAACTTTTCTGCAAAAATCCTTGTTGGTAGGGAATCTTATCAATATGCAGGCTATATTCTTTCCTATTCAAACTCATCCTCAACTGGAGAGTCTTTCTGTAGTTTATTAGAAATAACATGTAACAATTCATCTGATTTCGCTACACCTGCTGTTCTTAACCGTTTTTTCGGCATATTATAAGAACGTATTAAAGGTGTCTCTGCACCAGATGAGTGCGAGAATTGCGAAATAGTAGGTTGACTTTTGTAAACTGTGTCGTCTACATACTCCAAATCATCTATTGCATCCTCACTGACAAGTGTGTCATCATCATCATCTGAGATTGTCTGGAAACAAAATAATAATATATAACATATCAAAATAATAAAAAAAATGGAGTTGTATATAATAAAATCTTTATTTCTGTTTCAGTTTCCGACTACAACAACGGAATGGAAAGCTATAGCAGCAGATTTTAATAATAAATGGAATTTCCCTAACTGCTTAGGAGCAGTAGATGGAAAACACATTGCTATAAATCCTCCACCAGGAAGTGTATCTTATTTTTGGAACTACAAAAGTTACCACAGCATTGTCCTTATGGCAATATGAAGAGCCATATTATAATGCACATTATGAATTTATTTTTTGTGACATATGGACAAATGGTCGCATATCGGATGGCGGTGTCATTGAAAATACAAAATTTTGTGAGACAGCGGCAGTGAAATTGATATCTGATACTGATATAAATATCTAGTCATTGATCACCGTTATCGAATTTAGTCAGGAACCACTGTTATCATTGATTTATAAATCACCCATCGTTCCATCTAATAATATGTAATTAAAAATTAGGTATTTATAAAGAAAATAAAGTTTACTTACATCTGTAGAAACGTTGTTTTCTTCAGTCATATTTGACAAGGTAGTACGAGGTGCATCTTGATCTTGAACAAATAGCAGCAAATTGTAATACCACAATTTAGGTACATATACCTCTTCCGAGCCCATACGGGATATTTTTTTATTTACTTTTTTCCATTCTTTGCGGAAGCTTCCTCGCATTGTATTGATTTTTCTCACTACACTTTCTTTCAATGCATCGGGTTCGACTTCCCTCATTTTCTTAATTAGGTCTTCGTATGCTTTTTTTCTGACGATCACTGTATGCTTTATTTTTAATCTGCCATAAACAGGGATAACTTCTGTATAGCTCTGTGAATTCCGTAATAAAGTCTCTCGACATGCACCTTATATCACTCATGGTTTTTAATTGTTTGTTTTCTCATAAAATTATAAAATGCTTAATAATATGCAACATCCAATAAACAGTCGTACAGCACTGATTGAAAATGAAACATGCAGAGACTTGTTGCCCATACACTCTCGTTTTTCCCCGCGCAATGATAATTGCACACGCTAAAAATCAAGACGATCATGATTTTAAGAGGCTTGGTTGCGCATTCCACATTTTTCGCCATACACACACACACTTTTAACTGTACCGCGTGCCATGCACATTCAAACCTTCGCGCTTCCTTCTGAGTGAGCGCCTGAAACAGTGTCTGCTACTTCTACAGAGATACCAAAATTTGTAGCCGAATCGAATACGCTTTCCACGTATAAATTGCTTCAATGTGTTATATCTATATTATTTCACAATCAATCATTTCATTTACGTTATTTTTATATTTATTATCCAAAATAATCGTTAAAATATTAGTTACTGCGAAATATTTTTTCTTAAATATGATAAAATATAAAACTGTATATGGAAATGGCAATAAAAATCTAAAATTAAAAAAAATACAACGACTTGTGCACATATTCACATTCAACTGAATTGCTGCACATTTTGATAACGCTAAGTACCAGTGTTCTATTTATAGATCAGTAAAATTAAACTTATATTGACGATTGAACAATTTATATTTTCGAGATTTATTCATGAATAGAGATTACAATAAATATTAATCAACAAGAATAATCCAGTAAAGTATAAAAAGGGCCGATACGAATCTTTTATTATTAAATGTGTAAATCTACACGAAGTCAGCAAATTTGTCTGATCTTATATCTTATTATGAAGATATTTATTATGAAAATTACACTTCAGTTTACTACAGCCTAAAATATCCATGGAAAATTTTACTTTAAATTCAAAAAAGTTTTAAAGGTTGAAAAAATAAAATTTTCAATGATCTATAAATAGGACGCTGGCCTATAAATCGGTTAATAACACCTTTTCGTTGGGTTAAAAAGGCTAACCAAAGCAAAAAACTAAAATATTCATTCTTTCTGAAGGTTTCAATTCTCCCTTAACGTTAGTGTTCCCTATAACGGCCATGTTAATAATATTACTTTTAATTTCTGGAGCTGCATTTCAAATTAAACGAGTATTGCCATTTTATATAGCTTACCTATATCCAGGTTTTGTATGAATACGATATAAGGTCACTGGTCTGACTGATATTTATTTGTTTTTCTTCATTTTTTTTTTCAATACTTACCGGTATGTGCGTATTTTAATTTTCTATTAGTTTAATTTTCTTATTTCTTCGTTTTCCTCTTAAGTTTTCTTGTTTCTTTTGTGATCGATTTCCATATTCACAATTGCCTCATCCTAATTTTTCGATTTACCCCAATCTGAAGGGATGTCAGCTTTTTCCATTATCACTCTTTCACTTCACAAATTAATACAACCAAAATCAATATATCAAATCAATTGTACTTCACAAAAGTTAAATGGCAACGTTAATTCAATATCAATCTTAACTTTGACAATTGACGATTATTGTCATATACACTGGTCTTTTGTCTATCAATTTAGGCACCCGAATTTCACTTTCACTTTGTTCCCCATATGCTTCACCTTTTCGTAACTTCTTACTCATAATGTTGGTAGGATTGGCCTATTATTTAAGTTTCAAAGTAGGTTCCACAACGATAACTTTTCAGACCCAAGAGATCTATAGACAATTTGATGTTTTGATAATAGTTATCCAGTTATCCACAAACAATGTTCAGTCTTCGTTGATTAGTCCATTCAGTCACAAGATCATACATGTGACCATGGGAGGAACAGACCATTTTTTTTCGGCATATACCTAAAAATGATAGGTATAGCCATCTGGAGTACATATTTTATATACCTTTACTCCACATTTGTGCGTTTTCTTGGGAAAGTATTGACGAAAAACTAATCACCCTCTCCATGGCACCACGTCAATTACTGCATTTTCACCAGGAACGAGAACTTTTGATATTGTTGATGAATAATTTCAATAGTTTGTTTTACTTTAAACAAGCATATCACTCTTACTCCAATATAGAAGGGTTTATGGTAAAAAACATATACCCATAATCATACGGGCTCCTAAGCAATTTTTAATTTCTTGGTGACTGGTTTGCGTTCACTTATCAACAAAAGATCGGTGACGAAGATGGCGCGTGCGAAAATGTTCAGCTGCATATCTATTAGTTTCTTCAACAATTTCATCAAGAATATCATCGCTTATAAGCTATCAATATATTTTGTAGGATTAGATAATACAAAATTGTCCAAGTTAACTTTCTCTTAAGAGAGAATGTGAAAGTTGTCTTGTTTATTATACACTTTCCCCAGTTTTCCGATATCAGATTATTCTTCTGATCTTCATTTAGGTCACTTGGTCCTGAGTCTCCTGATAAAATTTGTCTCTCTAAGGCACTGTCATCCTCTTCGAAACCTTAGGCATTATAAGGGATATATTCATCCTAAAAATCTGAACATGATTGAGTTTCTTAGATCTTTTTAGGTTTGTTCGCAACAAAAATATTTTGTTGCGAACGAAGAATCACCCACATCATTTAAGATCAATGAAGGACCTGCCACATCCATTATGATCGATTGAGGACCGACCATATTAATACGCCCATTTAGCAAATCATTTTCCGGCACTAACGATAAATTTTGTTCAGTAAAGTCACTTTCGATATCAGCATATATAGCTTATCATAAACTGAAACAAAGAATATATTAAGGTTATGTTTGAGGCTGTGTCAAGCATAGACATGTAATACCTACATACCTGTGTGTTACAACCTAAAACCGATCTCGCCGTGCGAAGAACAAAGATGCAAGCAGTCCTTCTGACAACATATGGATGGATAAAAAGAGCGTCGGCACCTCATATGAAAAAAGAAGAAAGATTTTTTTGTCACCAATTAAACGGAGAAATCAAAAATTATTTTTAATTTGAAAAAACGCAGTGATATAGGTACCCCTCTTGTATTTGGAGATTGTTTAGTACTGGGAACGGGAAGGTCATGTGGTCGAGAAACCTCTAAAGAAATGCAAGGACTGCTTGCATATTTTTTTCTCCTTCGCACTGGGAGAAAGCTTTAGATTGGAACGCACAGTCTAGTTATTATATATCTATGGTGTCAAGTGATACATTCAGAATTTATTAAAAGAAAATCACTATCGTAGTTGTCATGTACCACGGACGGTACCAAAAAAATCGGAAACAACAGTCCAAAACAAGGAGAATCTACAAGTTGCATTCAACAAGTTGCCGATTCACCAAGGCAAATATCCCTCGCGAATTAGTTTCTAGTACTCACGACCATGAGTAAATAAATAAAGCAGAAATACGTATAAGCGGATGGCAGGAGCCCCGCATTGAAATTAAATCTCAAACGTCTTTCTGCTGAATACTCTTTGTATTTCATAAAGTCCGTCATGATTTGACATCAAAATTGTGCAGTTAAAAAATTTACATATTATATTAACGAAAAGCTCTGTATAGCAGATGGAGACTCAACTTTCTAACACAGCCACATATGATGTACAAAATAAAATATTGAATATACAGGATTCTGTAAAGTAAATTTAAAGAAGTTTCTAAAAAAATATATAAATTTATTGTTACTCTATACATGCTTCATCTTTTACATACACAATATTTATTTCTAGCTTCTGTACTTACTTGAAACAAGGACATTCCATTACCACCAATTTGTTCTTGATAAAATTTAAAAACATCTATAGGTAGCACTCCGAACTTGTTTGCCCCCAGTTCTATAGATAATAATAGCCATAGCTTTCCTTCTTTAGATATTTGTTTGTCAGACGTGAGAAGCATTCGTATTTTGTTGTATAGTTCGTTAAGCTTATCAGGACATTCAGTTTTAATAGCAGCACCATTCAAATAAAACTAAAAACAGGTTTCTGTTAATAATACATATGTAAATATTGCTGCTACATAAGTTTCGAGATATGGTAAGTTTCGTATAAATGCCACATATATCGCTAGCATCGTAATACAATGGTAAAGTGTCGGGATATTGACCAATATAAAAAGATACTACATTATTTTCACAATATGTTTAATCCGAATACTGCTATTATAGTGAGGGATAAAATCTATGCGAAATTTTAAAGACCAACTTGCTGATACTCCGCTATTGATACCTATTGTAACACAGACCCTTGAGATACATTACAGAGTTGTATTAACCTTTATCCAACATTCAAATAAAATTACCGGAGCAGTGTTGAATTTTGAATTATTAGTTTGTTTAAATGTTTTTACGAATTGATCGAAACAATGGTTTTTTAGCAGTAAACAATATCGCAATATACTATTAAAAAAATACTTGCGTTCATCTTTTTTCTAAACTTAGGACTGGCAAAATAAAATATTTTTCAGTTACGGAAATAGGTAGCCATTTTGTTTTGTGGGTTCGTCAATGAACATTAATTATTGATATACATAAAAAGAAGTAAAACTAATCATCGTCATTAAATATTTTTGTGAAATGTTATCAAAAATATGATGTTTTTATTTATAACATTTAAAAATAATTAAAAGAAATTCCTGCGGTTGACCTAAATACAAATTTACAAACAATTTTATATTTCGGGTAATGGCTAAGTACTTAATAAGTACATTTTCGTAGAATAATTAAATGGGACAGGATCATTGTCACAATATTTAAATAACGGAATTAGTCATTCTTAAGCAGTATATTTTGTGGTTCTTTCAGCCAGAGTTTGTCGAAAAAAAGTGCTGTGATATATTTAGTATTTATGTGATATATATTTATATTAGGAAAGTAATGTGCGTTTACCTGACGAAAATGAACTTACGGATAATTTAGAAGATGAAAATGAAAGTGCGGGGCCAAGTACGCAGCAAAGGAAGAATTTGTATGTAGCTGAGCAAAATATGGTGTTAGATGTATTTGATGGACTTTCTAAAAAAATGACCAAATATGAAGCTGTTAAGCAAACGGCGGTTTTAACAAAAATTTCTTGTGCAACAGTGTGCCGTTTAATAAAGACAGGTTCGAAAAGTAGAACAAGAAAGGATTTGGGAAGCTCTAAAAACATTCAACCTCACCTCTTGGAACCTATTAGTGAGACAATAATATGTATGCAGCTAAAGTTATGCCTAACCTAAACAATAACATGGCAAAATTAAAAGAAAAACATATTGTTGATGATCACAAAGACTTTGGGAAGATTTTTGCCCAAAAATGGTTTTAAATATAAAACTGTCAATAAGAGACAAACCATAATGGAAAGTAGCCGCCTAATAAAATGGAGGAATGAATATATCGAAAAAATTTCACAATACCGCAGTGAATGTCGAGAAATTTATTATCTGGACGAGACTTGGTTTGATTCTCACGAAACGATAGATAAAGCCTGGACAAACGGTACAAGAAAATGTCAAATAGATGTACCCCATTCTAGAGGCAAGCGAATTTGCATATTACATTGCGGAGGACAACATGGATGGGTGAAAGATGCGTTATTGTTGAGTTCCAATGGCATTAAAGACAGTTCTCTAGACTACCACCAAGACATCGAAGTGACGCTTTGTGAATCGTGGTTTGGGAATACATTACTCCCAAATTTAAAAGAAAATAGCGTGATTGTTATGGACCATGGATGATATCACTCCAGATGTATTAAAAAAATTCAACCAAACAGAGTAGAAAGTATGAAATTTAAAATTTTTAATAGCCGAAGACCTATATTTTGAGGATCATTACACCAAAGATCAACTAATCCAGGTTCTTCATACAAAAGTCGTAACTAAAGAACATCTATCTATCTAATTAGCCTTCTTCGGTCCATCTTTGGACATAGGCCTCCCCAATCCTTTTCCATTCTTCTCTGTCTGTCGCAACAGTCATCCATCTAGAGCCCACGTGCTTCTTGATATCATCTGCCCATCTCATTTGGGGCCTTCCTCTGCTTCGTTTATATTCCCACGGTCTCCAACTTATAAGAATTTTGTTCCATCGGTCTTCTTTTTGTCTTATATTGTGTCCGGCAAATCTCCATTTCAATTTTGCAACTTCTTGTCTAACATCCCTCACTTTTGTTTTCTCCCTTATCCACTCGTTTCTCTTCTTATCCATTAGTCTTATGTGCAACATTTGTCTTTCCATTGCTCTTTGGATTTTTATGATTTTGTCCATGTTTGCTTTTGTAAATGTCCACGTTTGGGAGCCATACGTAAGAACAGGGAGTACGCATTGATTATATACTTTGGTCTTAAGATGCTGTGGATATCTTTTGTTTTTAAGAATGTAGCTTAGTTTGCCAAATGCCGCCCATACCAGTCTAACTCGTCTCTTGATCTCTGCTGTTTGGTTCTCTTTGTTAAGTTTTATAGTTTGACCAAGATATATATAATCCTTAACTTGTTCTATTTCATCTTGTCCGATTCTCATTGTGATGTCTTCATCTGTATTTGTTATAGTTTTGGTCTTGCTGTAATTCATATTAAGGCCTATCTTTCCAGCTTCTACGTCCAGTTCTTTCATCATTTCAAATAATTCATATGAACTAAAGAACATATTGTAGATAAATTAGCCACTAACAATGGATATATGGTTTTAAGATTACCTCCATATTACTGTGTGTTGAATCCCATATAATCGCTATGGGCTCAGTTAAAAAACCATGTCCGGAGGAACATAAAAACTTTTAATTACGAAACAAGTACTTTAGTTTCAGATGAAAACCACTCGATTGTTTACTAGCACTGGCATATGTAAATATCTACCTTGATTTTTCGCTTTGTTAGTACAGACAAGCGAGCTACTGGCATGCCAATTACTAGCAAATATGTTTTGTACTTGCCAGTTACTGGCCTATGCCAGCTACTTTCCCAATTTACTGACATGTGCGTACCCGGCGTTGATTCTTATTTTCATATCGGAACGGCACCGGCGCGGATACCGATCGTGACTTGATACTTAGTTAAGAATATCAGCCAACACACGCTTCTAAGTCACATTCGGAAATACTAAAGATACGCGGCGTTAGTTCTTCCTAATTGGCTAGTAGAACTGTCGTTAATATCATACATATTTTAAAAGTAAAAAGTATCTCTTACCTGGAAAGCAATTTGTTGTAAATCTGAAATTTGTGGGGAATCCAGGAGCATTTCCAGACAATTTACCAATGGAATTAACATAAAGGTGAATGGTTCACCATTTACTAGCCGTGCTTTATTATAAAATTCCCCTAACATACGTACACAGTTTCTAAATGCTACCGGATTCGTTTTCTGAAGAACTTTGCCTCCTAAAAAATATTTTATTAATATTACTACTATACTCAATATGAATAAAAGTACATAAAATATAAGACAGATTAATTTGAAAAGTTTTTCAATTTTGAAGTTTTTCAATTTGTTTTTCCACAACTTTTGAGTGTACAAGTGCGTTCTAATTCACGATTCATTTTTCAGAGTCTATTGAGGTTATGTAGTAAAAACATGGAGAAAACGGGGTTTTTCGGTTTTTCAGAAAGTTGTGAGATAAAACTAATGCTTTGAATAACTGATTTTGATTGTAAAGGGGAAGATACATGTGAAAATGTAAATTACCATTCATTTAGACACTGACTTTAGAGGTTATATAGCGAAAGCTTAAAAACAACGCCGAAAAACGGGGTTTTTCGTTTTTTTTTAGCATACTGTAGGAAAAAAATAATAGTTTTAATAGCTTGTTTTGATTGTAAAGGTAAGAATACATATAAAAATATGAATTATCATTAATTTAGATGTATGTTGTTAAGGTTATGAGTCATCCATCTCACTAAAAAAACCTAATTTATGTTTATTTTATTAATATTTTTTTTATTTAAAAAAAAACTGATATTATTGTACTCTTATGGCAGTATAAATAATTTTTTTTTTGTTTTCTATGTAATACTTATTTTTTTTTGTTTTGTTCCTAGGCCCATACAATTTATTGTTAAGAGATGGGGGTGCTTCAGAAAAATGCCAAAAAGAGTTTCTTCGATTTTTAGGCATTTTCCACGTTGAAAATGATAATAATACCTATGCCATTCGAAAGAACGGGAAAAAAAACCATAAAAAAACATTGTTTTAAAGTTGGCCAAAAATTGCTGACATAACCTAAAATATTACTGAAAATTTCAAATATTTTTCCTTGGCTCAATTTTCATGCTAAAAATCTGAAAAAAATCAGGTAGTAGTGTATTATTAAACTACGCTTTCATGAATTTTTTCAGATTTTTTGCAGCAAGACAGGGTCTAAAAAAAATTTTTTTCTTTAAATACGTTTTTTCCCATAACGAACCCCGAGAGGCACCTAAGGACTTGAAAATTTAACCGAGTGAGTTTTTAATTATGTCCTTTCGAATGGCCAGGCCCAAAACTAAATCGAGCATGGTGCAATTTTGACCATCTTATCCTGCTATAGCCTTTAAGCAAGATACAGCCATTAGTATATTTTTGACAGCTGCATAAAATTGATGTGTTTTGAAAAATGGTGAACAATGGTCATTAGGACTACACTGTCAAATTTTGGTTTCCTGAATTGCTTAATTCTCCGTAAATAATAACCAACATAACTTTCCTGGACTTACCTAGACTGAAGCAAGAGCAATATTCTGTAAGGGTAAAGGAATTCTTCTTAGGCATGATACAGTGCGTTAAGTTTTGGATTAGGTATACACTCTATAAATGGCAACACTGCGCGTCGTCGATTTGCACTACATATCTGCTTCGTTGACTCGTCGTTGCTCGTCGCCCGTCGGCAAATTTGTCATATTGTCATTATACCGTGGTTGTTTAAAGGTATAACAGCGTAGAGTTTTAATTTATTTTTGTAAACATGTCTGTTTATATGGCCGCGGAAAAAGCTCAAATAATAAAATGGTTTTATAGTGGCAATTCTGCGCAACAGTGTGTAGATTTATTTTCTGTGTTTTTTGAGGGAAGACCAATTCCTTGTGTACAGTCAATTTATAATATTGTTAAAAATTTTGAGAGTTGTTATTGCCTCAAAAATTGCAGAAAATGTCACGCTCAAGAAGTGTTACCAGAAAAAGTTGAGGAAAGAGAATACCGGGATACACAAATTTGTGCAACAATCGAGGTAGATTCAACACGTTCAAGTAGAAGCATTGCTAGAGAGTTAGATGTTAGCAATGTTACTGTAACGAAAGTATGGAAAAAGCACGGTTACAAGAATTTTAAATATTCGAAAACGCAGCAGCTTTATCCAGACGATTACTTTCGAAGAATGGAGTTTTGTGAAACTCTAATAACGAAGGCTAATAGTGAACCAAATTTTATTAAAAACATTTTATTCACTGATGAATCTTCTGTTTCGTTAGTAGGGAGACACAATCCTTCCATTACGAGGTATTGGGAGCGGGAAAACCAGCACAGAAGTGTTGTTTACCGAACTCAACGTCCTCAAAAAGTTAACGTCTGGACTGGCATTTTAGGAGACCACATAATAGGTCCATTTTTTATTGAGGGCAACTTGAATAGTAGAGTATACCTCGATTTGTTACAGAATCATGTTCTTCCCGCTATTCTCAATCTTCCTGATGTAAATCTGGAGAATGTTTGGTCTCATCAAGACGGCTGTTCAGTTCACAACGCTCGAATTATTAGGGAGTATTTAAACAATACTTTCCCGAATCGAGTTATCAGTGGAACAGGCGATATTAAGTGGCCTGCGCGATCTCCAGATCTTACACCCATGGACTTCTTTTTTTGGGGACATTTAAAAAGCATTATCTACGCTCATCCTGAGGCTAGAGCCCAAAATTTGGATGAATTAAAAAATCGAATAAGAGAAGTCTCCAATTCTGTTACAGCAGAAACTCTTTCATCTGTTCGCAGAAGTTTTTATGACAGATTGGGGTACTGTTCAGCCGTAGAAGGTCAACTATTTGAACCATTTCTGTAGGTCATAAAGAATTATTTTTTATTTTATTAGGAATAATATTTTAATTTTCAATAAGAGTATATTTTTTATTTTATCTTTTTAAAGAAATACGCTTTTATTTTTAATTCAACCACAAAAAAATTTTCACGTTAATAAAAATCGATAACAATGCACCGATTAGGTCAGTGCATTTTTATCGAATTTCCTACTATTAAAATCGGCTATACGTAATGAAACATGAGATCGGACGACAGAGAAGTACATCCCAAACGTTGTTGTGAGTTACTAAACTAAAATAAATGATTTTCTGTCGGTGCAGATAGTATCGGGTCGGAGAACGAACATTTGCAACGTTGCCGATTTTAGCGCTCCGTATAGTGTGCAATACCTAATCAAAAACTTAACGCACTGTATATATCTGAATCTGAAGATCAGAATACTGAAGTGCTAAGTGTTTTTCGTACTGATTTACGTAACAAAAGCAAGGACCATAAAAATATGTTTATAAAATTAGAAACTTTTGAAATTTGTGTTACATGGTATTTAGTATTACATATTTGCTGAATGGACAAAGTACATAATGAAATAAATGAAAAAAAAAAGAGCAATGTTCTTAAAACCTATTTAAATAATTGTTTTGTATTTTGTGCTTATGTATGAGACATACAGAGTGCGGCAAAAGTCAGTTCCCCGATTTGCACAATCGAAAAATATCGGAAAATGAAAATGCAAAACGTTTAATTAAGTCGCAAATTAAACGGAAAAAAAATAATAAAAATATCGGAAAATGAAAATGCAAAACGTTTAATTAAGTCGCAAATTTGTATTACAAAGGTGCATATAAAAATCTAAGCTTTATGTTCGAACTGGTATCCATCTTCCTGGATACAACGTTCACAACGGCTCGCAACGCTACGGCATGTTCGGTTGAGGATTGCGTTGTTCTGACGGAGGTGTTCAAATTCTTCCTCAATAATTGTCTTCAACTGTGGGAGACTTTGCGGTCACCTAGCATACAAACTATTCTTCAGCAGGTCCCATAAAAAGAAATCGCACGGCGTGAGGTCGCAGGATCGTGCCGGCCAATCGATTTTCCCGCGTCTGCCAATCCAGTCACCAAAGTGCCCATCAAGAAACTCACGCACGATCAGCGCGTCGTGGGGTGGAGCACCGTCCTGCATAAAGTGAACAATTCCAGCTAGGGCGGGATCTGCTTCTATCGTACCGCGTAAGTCTTCGAGCATCTCGAGGTAGGTTTGGCCTGTTACCGTGTCTTCGAAGAAATATGGCCACACTAACCCGGAATTAGAACCCGGCGTAGATTCCAGCCCACACACAAATACATGGTACATTCAATTCCTGTGCGAGGGTAACATGCGGATTTTCTATACTCCAATAGACGCAATTATGCCGATTTATTATGCCATTCAGTTTAAATGTTGTCTCGTCCGTCCATACAATTTTACGATAAAAATGTGGGTCATCTGCAACACAACCACGATACCACTCACAACGACGTTTGCGTTTTCGACCAAAGATAGCGCCACGGTCTCCATATTCTCAGTCGTCGTCACTGTTACTGGCCGACCAGACCGCGGCGCGTCTGCAACGGAATCCGTCGTTAAAAACTTACGGTACAGTTTAGTGATATTACGACTTGATGGTACTGGACGATTCAGAAAACGTTCCTGAAATTCGGAAAAAATAGTCCGTTAGTCCGCTGACAATCGTAGATACGAAGTTAGTAAAAAAACGCGTTCTTCTTTCGTGTACTTGCCGCCCGCCTGTATGTTCAACTCGTTACTAACAAACCCCACAAAACCCCACCGACACTCACAACGAACAGCAACACGCGAAAGGCAGATGAACGAAACTCAAGGTTAACCCTACAAACAGTAGGGAACACCTGTTATGCGAAACTACATAGCGGGAACTGACTTTTGCCGCACTCTGTATATTACATTTACCTAACATTACACTTACCTTCAAAATCATTCTGTAATTTTCTTAAAAATAAGAGACGGAAATTCTGATCATGAACTTCTTGAGATATGAAAGATCTTGACGAGATCATAATAACCAGTTTAGAAGCTAATTCATCATCAACTAAACATCCTTGATACAAGGCATCAAAACTTTTCCTATAAAATATATTTACAAATTAGTAAAAATCATTAACTTAAATTTTTAGTCAAATTACTTAGATTCCTTCTAAGTGAATAGAGTGAATACAATTTTCATCACTAACTAAACTTGAATCATCTCTCTCTTTTGAGACTTAACTTTAGACAAGCTACATGATGTTTGGTTTGATTCATATCATATTGTTACGATAATAAATATTATGGCGTATAAAACTGTAAATATATTATGACTAATTCTTTTCTATTTCTAGTAATTTCGGCGCTCAAACCTGTTTACCTGCCGGCAGAAATTACTAGACCCTTCGAAGACCAGTCCATGAGTCACCTAATGGATGGAAGGTCATCGATGCATCGCCAGACCCTTCTAGATAACGGCATTTTATATATAATAACGGGGATTTTCATTGAGGAGCGGTCACCAAAAAAGACTCCCGGTCCAGACCAGATCACCAGAGCTCTAAAGTACCTACCAGCAAAAGCCATCGTTTAACCAATATCATAAACGCAATGCTAAGGTTTAAAAAATTCTCAAACAGATGGAAAGAGGCCCATGTCATAATGCTACCAAAGCCCGGCAAAGACAGCACATTCCCACAAAACTACAGGCCGATAAGCTTACTACCAGCAATCAGCAAAATAGTGGAAAGAGTGATACTCAGCAGACTCCAAGCTGAAACTGACAGATTAAACATCATACCCGAAGCCCAATTTGGCTTCAGATCAGAACACTCCAGCGAGCTACAAGTACTCAGACTAACAGAGTACATAGCAGCTGGATTCAACGATAAACAATACACAGGAGCTGCATTCCTGGATGTAAGTAAAGCATTCGATAGAGTCTGGCATAAGGGACTACTATACAAAATGAGAGGATACGGGTACAGCGGAGCAATGACAAGGCTGATCTCTTCTTACTTGAGCAACCGCAGTTTCAGAGTCCGGATAGGACAAGTCCTGTCCGAACTCGGGAACCCGGAAGCTGGAGTACCACAGGGAGCAGTACTGTCACCTCTGCTATACACGATATACACAGCAGACATACCTAGAACACCAGGTACATTATTAAGTCTCTATGCCGACGACACAGCGATAGCGGCCAAACACAGAAATGTAGACATAGCAGTCACCAACCTACAGACAGCGTTAGACGACATTGAAGAATGGAGTCTAAAGTGGAAAATTGCAATTAACTCAGATAAGACGCAAGCTGTACTTTTTCAAAAGAGGCGAGAACGACCGGAAGAACAGGTAACTGTGCAAGACAATCCCATTGAGTGGAAAAGCGAAGCAAAATACCTCGGGGTAATAATGGACAAAGGACTAACCTTTAATAAACACGTAGAAGCTACGGTACAAAAAGCCAACATGGCAAGGGCCGCAATAAGAGGCCTAGCAGGAAGGAAAAGCAAACTTCGCATAAAAACCAAAATAAGACTTATAAACAGTATAGTCCTTCCTATACTGACCTACGCGTCACTTGCATGGGGACATATATGCAACACAACCAAAAAGAAAATACAGGCACAACACAACAAAAGCCTAAGAGAAGCGGTAAACGTACCAAGATACGTAGCTGAAAGATTCCTTTTCAGAGAATTACAACAAATCAGAGTGACTGACACTATGAAAGAAAAAGCTAGGAAAAAGTTCGCAGAATTAGAGAACCACCCCAGTCACATTCTACGAGAGATAATGAGGTATGACGCTTTCCACAGATGGAAGCACAAAAGACCAAAACAACAAATAGTAGACTAAAATAAAACCAGAGAGAGAAATAAAAAACCCCCCCAGATGGACAGAATTCAACAAAAAGCCCAGAGTGAGAAGAAACTTCAAATCATACCACACACACAAGGAAGACAGTTCGTAGCTCAAATCACCCAGAATATCGCTTATCGCCTCATTCACAGTGGGCCCAGCAGCTCAACTAGGATACAGTCTGTATTGTGGTATCGTATAATATTTATATATTTTCTTTATTATAATATAGATTGTACACTAATTATGATTTTTTGTCCACAGGTCACCTACAAAAAAAAAATACAAAAAAAAAACAAAAAAACCTAACAAAAACCGGCTTCGGCCACCAAAAAAATTAACAAAAACCCCAAAACCCGGGCACGTAGGGCCCAACCCCCTTGAGCACCAAGTCGCCGAACTGAGCCGGGACTCAGAGCGGAGACTTGAGGCCCAAGTAAGCAATTTTAGTTCGCGGATAAGCCACATTAAGATAAACAGGAATATAGCGGAGATGCGCTGTCCTGAGTTTTTTGCATTCGGTTAGGAAACCATGTTGGGGTTCTATTACCCAGGACCTCCACATGAAGAGCACTTGGCTGATTGTTGTGCCTCTATAGCGAATCAGATTGCTATAGGGGGGAAAGGGATGGTCTAGAGCATTGGAGCACGGTGGGGTGATTCCTGTTTTGAACTCGAGTTAACACTTCTCATAGGCTGGGTTTAATCAAATTGCTTGCTTGCTTGAGGAGTGGTTAGTCAAAAAAAGAAGCCCGTGCGATCGTGTTTTACAAAGTAACGCTCATATATATATAAATTATTGTAAGATAAATTAATATAAATAAACTTCAAATAAATTAAATTTGTGAGTGTTATAAATATTGAACCTTTAGTTTAGTAAATTAAAATAAGAACAATAAATTAGAATTAATAAAGACTTAGACTCAGGAATTAAACATGAAAAGGTTTTGAGTATTTAGATTAAATGGAAAAAAACTTTTTACCTCAATATATTGCAATTGTGGAAACATGGATTTAATAATATACATGCAGAACTTTGCGAGATAAGTTCTTGGAAGAAAAAGAAGACACAGAATAAAACACTTCAACAAAAAAAAAGTAAAAAGGGGAATCTGCTACTGGTGTAGGGTACAAAGGCTTACATAACATCGTAATATAGTTTCGAAACACAATTCAGATTTCTGCTTTATAATCTGAGCCTTCTAAAAATTGCAAGGCAAACAGACGTTGATAAAAGATGTTAAAAGAGACATGGGGAATCTAAAATTTGCATTCCACAACATGTCTTTTACAACTAAACAGAAATCCTTAGCGAATTGTGCTTCTAGTACTCACACAGAGTAAATCCGAATAAAATGAGAAAAGGCAGCAAATATTTGATTTCACGCAAACAAATCCTATGTATCTCTTGATACGTATTTCGACCTAATAGGTCTACTCAGAAGAGCTATTCATAGGGGTTCTCAACGTGAAAAATCAATATTTTCTGCCTTTTAAGAAGCAACAATAACATGGCTTCAATACGGACGCAATAGCGACATCTAATTAGAAAAATCGTAAAATAGTTTCGAAACACAATTCAGATTTCTGCTTTATAATCTGAGCCTTCTAAAAATTGCAGACAGGGAGATTCCCTGAGCCCTCTATTGTTTAACCTGATTATGGATGAAATAATAATCAAAGTAAGAACTAAAAAAGGATACTAAATGGGAGAAAAACAACTTAAAATTATCTGCTATAGACGACACAATACTATTCTCTCAAAGTGAAGATGATTTACAATGTATGCTGCAACAATTTAATATAACTGCCAGAAAATTTCCTAATAAAAAGATGTAAATTGGAGCTGGAAGGTCAGATAATAGAACAAGTGATGGAGTTTAAATATCTAGGCATCACATCATCTAGCTAGGGAAAACTCGAAACCGAAGTGAGATTAAGTGAATGGAGCAAAAAGAACCGCAGGCTGCCTGAATAAAAATATGGAGAAATAGAAATATCGGGAAAGAAATGAAAGGCAGAATTAAGGTAAGACACTATACTAAACTAAATTCATGTTACATATTCCCAATTGTCAACATATGCATGTGAAAGCCAAACAGGGTCATACTGATGTGTATCATATGATTCTTAAAAATATTTACTTTTGAAACTATTAGTGTAAGAATTTATTGCTATTTAATCATTAAATCACAGTTAAACTAAACTCTAAAAAATAACATGACCAGTAAATAACTTAACAATAACTGTAACATAAATATAACACACAATATATTAACTTAAAAACCAACATGATACAATTTGAATTTAAACAGACTCACAAGTTTGAATCTGTAACATGAGAATCTGTCTGTCTTAAGGCAATAAATTATATTTAATAGCCTCTTGACGAATGAGAAGGCGAATATCAACACATGCTTTTATTCATAGTTGGGAATTTACTGAAAGAATGAACTATACAGAGCTAGAAGTACAGATATACAGCATAGATTCAAGGTGGAGAATATCACGAACTGGGTAAGAAATATAGAGTAGTAAGGATGGCAAGAGACGGTAACACAATAGGAAGACGATCAGTAGGAAGACCACTACAACAATGGAACAACAACTTACTAGAGGCACATTGAAAAACAGACATAGTCATTTCCAGATAAGAAGAAATTTTAAAATTTAATACACAATTTACATCGTAATATATGTAACATAAATGATAATAGTTAGATTCATAACTAGAATCTGGCTCAGTTCCATTTATATTATTGTCAAAATCATTGGATGGCCCTGATGCATAATCTGGATCATTCTTACTTTTGGCTAAATACCATAATTTGTTTACATCTATTGCTGTTCCGGCTAAGTGACGCTGCACTGCTACTATCAAAGAATATACATGCATATGCTTCTATATTTTTTGCTACTACTACAAACAATAATAACAATCAGTTATCAGATTAACAATCATCCATTTCTCACAATATATATTTACTTAAAATACAAATACCATGAGAATACTCCCAATGTTTGATAGAAACAAATACCTTTTATAATTAATTATTTGAAGTTATGTTACAAACTTGCTTATATCAAACTTCACAAAATTGTCTTAACTGACGCAGCTCAGTATAAAATGCCAACTTAAATAGTCCTAACTGCATTTTTTAAGAAAAAAGCAGACAATTTTTCTTAGTATATGTGAGATAGGACAATTTATGTTAGTGAACATGGCTTTTTAGTCAGTTAGGGCAAACCATTTAGATATAATAAGGCACTTACGATTGTTATAGGAAAATCTCATTTTGTACATACATAGATAATATGTTTACGCATGCTCTGAGCCAATAAAGTCATTTTACCAAATTTTGCAGATAGGACCTTTTATGTTAGGACAGCAGAACATTCCAAAACAGTATGATATAAAAACTAAACACTGCAAAACAAAATCTATGATAAAATGGTAATTCTCCAATAATTGTCAAAACAATGCCAGTTATTAAACAAAACAGAAATATAAATGTGCATGTTAATTGCAATGAAAATATGGCACAAATAATAGCAGCAAGGAATTAAAGAAAACAGGTGATTTGCATAAGTAATAGATGTAAACAGAAAGGTAGATAGAAATACAACAAACTATCATCCTAGAACTAATAAATTCATGTCCTGATAATCGCCAAGGACCCTCCAAGATGTTAACAAGTGGTTGAACAAATACAGAATATTTTCTCAGTATTTTAAAGATTGGTTAAAACTGAGAATATATTGGAATTAAGCAGCGTACTAAATTATGTTTTACATAAATACTTACTCCACTTCTTCACTACTTTTACAGTCTTGTTTCCAATTTTCCAATATATATTTAAGTTTTTGGTTAAACTTTATACCATCATCAGACGTATTGAGCTCTTTAACTCTGTTAATAATATCTTTGTATTCACAAGAATCAGTAAATAGAGACTCATCAGCAACGGAAGGAATATTTGGTTTAGCTACAGTTATATTACCTGGAGGCACAGGGTTATTCTGATTTTTATTGATATTTAGCCATCCTCTACCTCTGCCGCCTTTAGACATTTTTTGATAATTTATGAATATATGGTAGAGTTAAAAATTGTAAATTCTGCGTTTTGGACAGTATAAAAGTGAAAAATAGAATAACCCAAAGGAGATAAACCTATTTAGGCATTAACCTAACTTTCTTTCTATTTGACGAAATTCAATCTAACATAAACATCATCCATCATCTAACTTCTTAAAATACACAGCAACACATCACAGGATCCACAGGACACAGAAATACATGACAGATAAGCATTCTCGTAGACACAGACACCACAGATAATATAACAATTACAGACTGACAGGTGAATTGGGTGAATACAATCAGATCAGGTCAAACATCAAAAACTGTCAAAATAAATGGCTAATGACATATGTGATGGAATAACAATTAATAGATAAGTTAACCTGTTTTTTTTTATTTTTTTGATATAAACCCATCTACATACTACATATAAATAATTAAAATAGGCTAGGAAATGGAGGGAATGCTATGGGTGAGAATATAGGATAAATTTTTTTAATCCTAAAGATATGAGAAAACAATAGGGAGACATTTTTGAACATTTAAATGCTCCTGTAACCATCATACATCATACAAATACACAACGTAATATCAAAACAGTTTTCATACACATAATAGATCCGTCTTAATTAAATTTTTTGTTTTTCAAAACTTTTAATCACCATATTATTAGTTTGTGTTTTATACCTATCTTAATGTGAAATAAACAGTTCACTTCACTAAAGTTCACTTTTCCAAGCTAATTACAAAAGAATATAGACGAGTATGCATCTATTTTCTTTGTAACTACTATGATTAATGGATGACTAATATTATCAACTTGCACATGCAATACTTATGAGATATTGCATTGCATGCAATATCAATATGAATAACAGAACAGTCTCATTATTGATGATTTTAATAAACAGCTTTCATGGTTTGAATTTTCTACTTAATTGGAAGGATAATTTTAATTGAGAAATAATTGTGAATGTCAAAGCATAATTTTTAAAAAATTGATGTATGAATCACTCACAAACTACCCTGGTCTATGATGGTTAACAGAGGTTTTCTATATATCTATCTGCAGTAATAGTCTACTTTGGGGTTTTTAGGAACCAACCTTATATACTGTAAAAGGTATTTTAATAATGGATTGCACAGGTGACAGAGTATTGGCTAAATACTATGATAAAAATGTATTTCCTACATCCAAAGAACAAAGGGCATTTGAGAAAAACTTATTTAGTAAAACTTTCAAAAACCCAGAGGCGGAAATTATCAATTTAAATGGTTTGACTTGTGTTTATAAAAGTAATGTTGAATTGCTTTTTTATGTTATAGGAAGTTCCCAAGAAAATGAGGTAAGTTGTTTAAAGGTATAGTATGACACATCAAATTAATTGAGCAGTAGCAGCATATCAATTGATAAAGAGCCTTTAAAAAATTAAGGGTAGGCTATGAAATAATTTCAAAGTAAGGGATGACTAGTTTAGTTATTACCAGTTTTGCTGAATGATTATATTTTATGACTTGACATTAAAGTCTATCTCAATGTTTAACGTCTTGAATTTTACCTCATCTTATCTCCATCTAGGTATTTTATGAGAGGTCATCAGAGGCGGACTCCAAGTAAAAATAATAATATAGCAATTCTTTTCGAGGCATTTATTTTATTGTAAAGAAAATTACATTTATTTACTGGTATTTTAAAACTTTATTCAATACTGATAACAATAAGATATTTAAACTACACTGTAAACATTAAAAATTAATGATTATTAAATATCTGTTGTTATTCTAATACTTATATTATTTATATTCAAAACATAATACAAGATTTAAACTAAATTAATAATGATTATTATTATGTGTTGTTATTCTAAGATCAATTCTGTTTCACTGTTGTAGTCATCATTTAGATTAATCACAATGGGCTGTATATTAAAATTTTGTGTAGACAAATAAGAATGTTCAAGTTTTACAATATGCTGTACTAAATTTTTCCAGCTTTCAATCGATATATTATTTATAACAGTTTTAATAAACTCTATGACAGTCACACTCAGGGTAGAAGAGACATTTTCTGCTCTTACCTTTGCTTTTACTTGGTGCCACATATGTTCAATGGGGTTGAATACACAATGGTATGGAGGAAGACTTAACATTGTATGTCCCATCTGTTCTGCTAAGTTGTCACATACATATTGCTTTTTAATAGCAAAAGTATTTAACACTTCCAGTAGTTGCTCTTTCTTGTAACTAAATTCAAAATAAATATCATTTTGTAACAAATACTCCTGAATTTCACTTTAGTACTTGCTCTGTTTGACGCTTTTTGAAGCTGACGACTGTGATAGCTTGCTTTATCCATTACAATGACACTTGTTAGGGATATTTTTTAAAAGATAATTTTGAAATCAGTTTTCAAAAAGTTATCCACTTGTATCTTGGTGGTAGTCCAAGCTAGAGTCTTTGATATTCTTCGCAGATAACAGCAAGCAGTTTGGGACCCATTTGCCTTCCAAACCAGCGTGAATTATTGTGATGCATTTTCCTTTATTTGAAGGTGCTTTCGTATGGCAGTTATAATTGATAGATCTGTTTTCTAATCTATATTTCCTAATGTCAGAGAGATAACTATATCTCCAAATACTCAATCTCTGTCTTATGATATTTAAAACCTTCTATATTCTATCTGTATTTGTTTCATCTTCTTCTAACTTCAATTTAAGTTTATCCAAAGTTGGAACAATCTGGTTTTCATAGAAGGAATATATTTTTCTTCTTATCATATCTTATTGAGCACTGTCCAAACGATGAGACCGGAAATCACATTTTTTCCGCCTCGCAGTGTTTTACTGTTTACAATATCCTTTATTGACGATATTGGCGTTTTTGTAAGTATACAGGTTTCTTTCACAGCAGCTTGTTTGATTAAGTTTCTATTTATTAAAGTATCATACACATTTTTAAATATTTGTTTTGCGACTAATGACAAGTGCTTTTGACTATGACTAATAGCTGTCAAGCGATTATTTTCCCAAGGGTGAAACATTATTATAAAACGCACAGTAAATAACAAGGATTATTAACGACTGATAAAACACGTTTTTAAATATGTTCTGCTAACCCACCCAGGGTTGGGTCAGGTATGTGTCGGCCAGTGCCATAAAAAATTACAATCATTAATTTTTAATAATCTACATTAATACTAAAACATAATGATATACACTAAGACATACCTAGTTACAAATATCGATGTGTTCATATACCATCAAAGAAATATCACTGTGTCAATTACTAGGGCACACAAGTTTAAATTCTGTACTATTAGAAATGTGCTATCTTAAAGACAGTTTATTACACTAACGTTATGCCACTAGTTTGAATCTAACACTGCAATGTGCCTTCAAACTTTGTAACTACATTCAAATTTTAAAGGCAGACTAATTTGGCAATTCCTTCTCCACATTTGAATGACTTGATTTATGAGTATTATTATAATTCTGATAAATACAAGCCTTTTATCAAGAGTGACTGAAATAAAAGATTTGGGAGTGTTATTTGACAGTTTCTTGTCATTTATCCCCCACCAGTGGCGGCTTGTGGCCTAAAAAAGTGGTGAAGATGAGGAAAGCTTGCCGGAGCCAAAAGGAGTTTTGGTACCTACTTCACGCCCAAATCTCATTAAAAAAAATGTATAGAGTTTAGGGCCCTAATAACTTGAAAACAGTTTTTTAGGGCACTTATACTAGATACGATTCGTTCTGCTTGCCTGGGGTATTTTAAAACGGGTTGGTGAGTTTCGATTCAGCTGCCCACTTTGGGTCAGATGCTGATTGCAGCCGATCACTCTGGATCAGACGCAGATGTTTAAAATACTGGTTGGTCGACTATGTAAAAGAACATCCCTTTTATCTTCATTTTTCCAATGCCTAAACAGAGTCTCTAATATATTACACACTAAGTCATTAATTGGATTCATGTCTGTCTAAAATTATTTTTGTCCAAACGAAATTCACAAGAACACTTCAGATCATTTCATTCTATTAAGATCTTCAGGAAATTTAATTTAATTTACTTAATTTAATCATTTGTTTAACAATAATTATTTAATACTTAGTTTTAGTATGTACTTGTATTATGGTTAGCATATTTCGTTTTTGTTAAATTTTGGAAAAAGGGGGGCATCCCGTAAATAAATAAATAAATAACTTTCCTGCACATGTTAGAAAAGTAACCAAAAGAACTTAAATGTGTTTTATATAATCTTATTTTTTCCAAATTTGTGTTTTAAAGAAAGCAACAAATTTTATATAAGTTAGGTTATGAATTATGTGTTCTTGTGTGGAAGTGACAACCTTTTTAACTGAAGGAATGTTTATTTCCAAGCCTGCTTTAATTATTTTTTCAATGGCTCGATATTTTCATGAATTTTAGTAGAAATAAATATTTTAGTTTAGAGATCATACACATGCATGTTTAAAAATCTTCAGATTTATAATATAAAGTATAATATAATATAATAATTATAATAGTATAATTCATAATATAAAACAAATTGGGCCTTAAAAGAATGGTTCTTAACGCAGAACTGAAATGATGCAATTACTGCCAGCATTCCAAGTTTAGTAACAATTTTTTTTTTATTTATTAAATAGATGGGATCACCCCATTACAGCATTATAATAACATTATATTTTTTAATCCAATTTATCTTATAACTACACTCTAAAATACAGCTAGTAATTATAATATAATAATAATATAATATAATAAATACAACAAATAATTCTAGAATTCAAATACCTAAGAAACTTATTCTGAACTTTCTCAATGGAATTGATTAGAAAGAGATATTGCATCAAAATTGATGCGTATTGAAGGTAACAGAAGGTCATAACATATTTTGCTGTGCTACACTCATAGACATAAGAATAGACTAGGTAAGGTATAGGCCGCTCTATGAATAGAGGTGAAACAACAATATTCACTTTAAGTGGTCTAGCTATCTTTGTCTGTGCGTGATCTACCAAATCTACTCTCAGAGCTTGATCTATGCGCATGATCTACCAAATTAATATAGGTGGGAGTTATGGAACTCTGGGTGAGAGGTGTATTTGTTATGCTAGGTGTTAAAGCGTTACGTTACAATCGTAACGGAAGTATTACTGATCATGATCCCACCAGACTGTAGGGCCTCTCCGGTCGTCATCACACGAAATCCCTACAATTTTAGAAGTACGACAACTTTAAAAATGTCTAGCACTACAATCAGATTAGGTACCTGGAACATTAAAAGCCTCTATGCAGCAGGCAAGCTCAGTAACTTAGTTCAAGAGGTTAAACGTTTAAAAATTGATATAATGGGCATCAGTGAGCTCCGGTGGCCTTGAACGGGAATATGTGAACAAGATGAAGGCACACTATACTATTCTGGAAGTGCAGAAGATGACACATATCATAGGAGTGGAGTTGGCTTATTTATAACGTCTAAATTTAAGAAATATGTGAAAATTTTTATACCAGTCAGGCTAGCAATACTCCAATTAAATAGCAAACCATTTAATGTCAATGTTTTCCAGATATATGCCCCTACTACAGAAAAGAAATATGACAATGATGTCGAATCATTCTATAGCCAATTAAAACAGACACTTAAAAATCTAAAAAGTAACGAAGTCACATATATTATTGAAGATTTTAACGCAAAAATCGGCCAAGGCCGAAGATCTGACCTGGTAGGTGAATATGGACTAGTGGAGAGCAATAAAAGAGGCGATAGATTATACCTGTTCTGTCAAGAACATGACAATGTTAATCGCAAATACATGGTTCAAATTACACAAAAAAAGGTTATACACATGGAGAGGACCAAGAGAGAATTTACTACATATGATTAGAAATCAGATAGACTATATTCTGGTAATCAAGAGATTTAAGAATGGCGTCACCAGAGTAACAACATATACTGGTGCAGCTATCGGTTCAGACCATAACCCTGTAATAACTGACATCAAAGTGAAGCTCAAAAAAGTCCAAGAAAGCCCCAAAATACCAAAATTAAATATCTCAATATCCAACAAAACGTTAATAGAAAATGACTTAAACAATGAGCTAAAGAAACCAATAAATGAAAACAACACAGAAATATGGAATATATTTAAAGATCTTACCTTGAAAGTAATAGAAAAATATTCAACAACGTTACACAGGCACAAAAAACAACAATGGATGACTGATGAAATCCTGGAATTAATGGAGCAGAGAAGGAAACTGAAAGGTAACAAGACAGAATATAAGGAAAAACAGAAACTAATTAAACAAAAAATAAGGGTGGCTAAAGGAAAATGGATGGAGGATAAATGCAAGGAATTAGAAAAGTTGAATGAAAAACATGATACGTTTAATATGTTTAAAAAAATTAGAGAAGTAGCTGGTCTTTATCATAAAAATGATAATAGACGAACATGAAATTCGAACAACCTGGTGTAATTATATAAGTGAACTGTATAATGGTGATAGACCCGAAGAACCGGAGACTTTAGTTGAAGGTGAAGGACCAGAAATACTAAAATCAGAAATACTGCATGCTATAAAGTTAGCAAAGAACAAGAAAGTCGTTGGCCCTGATAACATACCGACAGAGATGTTAAAGCTTATAAATGAGGAGAACATTGGAATACTGGTCAAACTTTTCAATGATGTTTATTCGACTGGTGATATCCCTTGGTAAAGTCCAAATTCATAACACTACCAAAAAAAAACAACGTCCGAAAAACTGTAGCGATTATAGAATGATAAGCCTTATGAGCCACACTTTGAAAATATTTCTACGCATCATCCACAGTAGAATCAGAGATAAATGTGAAGAAGATCAGGATGAAACACAATTTGGCTTCAGAAATGGACTGGGAACTCGGGACGCCCTCTTTGCACTAAATGTATTACTGCAGAAATGTCGAGATCAAAGAAAAGACGTCTTTGCTGTATTTATTGAATATGAAAAGGCCTTTGATTGAGTACAGCATCACAAATTAATTACAATATTAAAAGATAAAGGAGTTGATAGTCAAGACATACGATTCATAGAAAAGTTATACTGGCGTCAAACAGCGACAGCTTGCATAAACGGAAAATCAACAGAAATATGTAAAATACAAAGAGGTGACAGACAGGGTTGTATACTATCCCCACTGTTATTTAATTTATATTCAGATACAATATTTAAAGAAGCGCTGCATAATTTGGAATGAGGCGTGAAAGTTAATGGAATTCTGATAAATGCAATCAGGTATGCAGACGATACAGTTATTTTAAGTGATGACATGAATGGATTACAATGCCTTTTAAATGCCATTGATACAGTGGGAAGAGAGTTTGGCCCAAACATAAACTGTTCAAAACAAAACACATGGTGTTTAGCCGTTTAGCACATCAAGATGCATGGTTATATGTTGATGGTCATATAATTCAAAGAGTGTCCAGTTTTAAATATCTTGGTTGCCATATTACTGAACAACTAGATCCAGATCAAGAGATAAAATGTAGAATCGAGATAGCCCGCACGACATTTTTAAAAATGAGGTCATTCTTCTGTAATGATAACTTGCAACTTCAACTTCGAAAGCGTATGGTTAAATGCTACATTTGGTCAGTCTTCTTATACGGTGTCGAAGCATGGACATTAAAAATATCCACCATTAATCGTCTGGAGGCCTTTGAAATGTGGCTGCACAGACGTATACTAAAAATTCCATGGGCGGCTATGCTGACAAATGTGGCAGTCCTTGAGAGAGCAAATGCTGCTCGCGAGCTGCTTGATAACATCAAATGTAGAAAGATGGCCTATTTTGGACACGTAATAAGGGAAGACCTATATAATATTCTTCAACTTATTATGATGGGTAAAATCGAAGGACGCAGAGGAATTGGTAGAAAGCAGGCCTCTTGGTTGAAGAATATCAGGGAGTGAACAGGAATAAAGAAAGCTGAGCAACTATTTAGAATAACTCGAGACGGAGACAGTTTCGCCATGTTAATCGCCAACGTCAAGGGGACTTGATAGGGCACGTTAAGAAGAAGGTGTTAAAGAGTGAGAGGTACATCATCGATTCAGTTCTTCACGTTTCACTATTTTACTCACTGTGACTAGTCTATTTTTCTGATGTCAATAGGTACACTGGACTATTAATAAGTATAGGTATTGAAGTTTAATCGCTCTTTTTAAGATATCCTTGTTGATTGTGGTAGTGTCATCAGAAAATATGCTGATTTCAGTAGTTTTTATAGGAGAATAATTGATATGATTTTCTAAGTATTACAGCAGTCATTCATCCTTTTTTAAAGTTTACAGAGCATGTCCCAACTAAAGTATTTACTCTTATTGAAATTTATACTGATCTCAATTGATTTGTTTAAGAATAAATACCTTTTTTGTATATTTAACAAACAAAACTCATTTTAGCTTATGCTTGTGAGTGTTTTAAATTGTTTATATGACACAATTAACCAGATCTTAAAGAAAAATATGGAAAGGAAAGCACTCTTAGATTCATTAGATATTGTTATGTTAGCTGTGGATGAAATTTGTGATGAAGGGTAAGTTAATTATAGCATTATTATGTTTTTTTATTGAAACTTGTTGTTTACATATGAAATATTTCATACATATAACTTTTTAAAATCAGGTTTCTCCAAAAAAACGTGTTTTATAAATAAATTTTATTTATAGTACAAAAGATTTAAAAATCTTTACAGGTGAAACATTATGAAATGAAACTACTTGAAGACTTTTTTTTAAAATGGCGGCTCTGAAAATGGCTGCTCAAATTCGTCCAATTTATTGGTATGCGTCATCATGTCTTAGAAACGAATCATTTGAAAGCAGAAAACAAAATGGTTTTATATTCTGTATCGAATTGGCTATGGATGGTACTACAATGAAACGTTTTCAGAAAACAACAACAAAATGGCCGCCTTTTGAATTTTTCGACCGTGTTGTTGCACATTTATTTTTTATAACTTTTTTAAATAACAATGAATATTTTTTTTGGTTGTAAACTACATTCATTTTACAAATTCCCAACTGTCAACAAACGCACGTGACAGCCAAACAGGGTCGTACTGAGGTGTATCATATGATTTTTAAAAATATTTACTTTTTAAATTATTGTAAGAATTTCTTGAAATTTAATCATTGCGAACAAAATTTAATGTTCCATTGAAGAAAAATTTGCTAAAATAAAATATTCATTAACTGACAGATACATAACAAAGTGAACATTTTGAATAAAGTAGCATTGTCATAAGTTTATCAAAGCATAAAAACATACCATTTAAATTACTCAGAGTCTGAGAAGCTACATGTGCTGCTCTCTTCCTCTTGACATGTAGTTGGACTAATATTATTTATTACACCATAAAAAATATTTTGTCGGTCAGATAGCTCAGCGGGCTGTGCGGCTGCCTCTCATTCGCTTCACTGTCAAATGGTTCAGTGGATGTGGGTCGAGAAACCAAACACAACTGAAACAAAACCAAACTGTGTGTACTGAAAAACAAAAAGTCTAACGCAGCAGTTTAAAATTCTAGATGAATCTGCGGCTTAGACTAGGATATGCTGGGATCTGATCGGCCTATGGTGGAGCAGTACGGCAAGAGATAAGGGCTTGCGGCTTGGTGATACTCCTCCATAGATCCCTACCGGACGGGCGTAACGCCTAAAAAAAAAAAAAACCGGATATATATATAAAAAAATATTTTTCATATCTTCAAATTTAAAAGTAGTGTTTTTGGCTGTTAAATATTTTTTTACTTCTGCGCAGATGCACTTTAAACATAGAGTCCTCAAACCCCATATTTTTTTTATTTAAGCCTCACTTGGATGTTAGATTTTCTCAGAGTTTTTTCACTGAGTCAATACTTTTCGAGTTATTTGTGAGTGAATATGTTCATTTTTCAACAACATAAAAACAAGGACGGTTTTTGCAAATAACTCAAAAAGTAAGTATTTTATTGAAAAAAATATTCTTAGTAAAAATATAGCTTGTAAATAGTAAAAAAAAGGTGTACATATAAAGCCAGAAGCACATTTGTAGCTAATGAAAAGTAGGTTCTTATTCGTCAAATTCCAAATTGAATATTTCAACGTGAAAGAATAAAAACAAGCACTTTCCCCAACAGCGAGTTTTCCCCGAAACGTGCTTCATTTTTTTGATATTTCTCGTTGAAATTGTAGCGTTATAACTGCTACATTGCCTGCTTTCTTTCTTATGTTAGTATATTTCGTTAATTCTATTCTCCAATTTCCGTATCTTCTGTCATAATTCATATTCTTCTATATCCTCCATTGTACCTCTTATTTTTCTATATATTTTCTAGGATATAGATTGTATCAGAATTATGTCGTTACTTAATTGATTCATTATTCTCTTTTCATTTTTACTGCTATTTGGTATAAAAACCAGTTGGCGTCCAAATCTATCTTCTTTATATATATATTTTAGTATCTACCTTTCCTATTTTCTTAATAATCATCATTTTATCTTTTACTCAAGTTTCTAAAGAGTGAATTTTATTTTCATCTCTATTTCCGTTACTTTGGAACGAGAGGTCCCATCTTTATTCTCTGTGACATTTCTCCTTCCCGTTCGATATAAAAGTCCATATAATCGCTTCTATTTTCTAAAAATGTCGATTTTCTTCATGACTTCTCTAAGAATAGAATAACCAATTGTTGTGTCGTCTCCAGATTTGGAGTCAACCTCCGGGATACATTTCTCAGGTGCGGGTCAAATTCTATTACCATCCAGAAGACCAACCGGCCTGAGAATGGAACCATTATTCCAATAGGAGAGTTGACTCCGAGACAAGGAAATCCAAAACTACCAACATGGCTTGCTAACAACCAGAGCAGAAAAGACCAGGATAAAACTTAGGATTTGGTGACAAAAATTCTTCTTTCATATACCTAATGTAACACTGTAGCAAGAAGTCGAATAATTTTTATTTAAATTTAATACGATACTTAACATTTATTTTTCTGTTTTTTTTTATATCTTAATAAACATGTGTTAATTTAACTGTGTATTGTTTCTTCTTTTTACTTGTTTGTGTGTGTTGCTCCAGAGTAGGCCATATTCACGTCCTGAGTGAGCTAGCCAGGGAGTGTTTCGCATAACGTCTAATGTAGCAATTTGCAATTGATACATTAGGGGTTATGACGTTAAAAATTGGTCCCAACGGGAAACGATTTGTCACTCCAACGTTGTTAGTGATGTTAGTCAGGTTGTAGCAGCAAACTAAGGTTTGCGGTTACAGGTTGACAACAGCAGCTCAACGTTGGGATGTTACAAATTGAGCCTCGAAGGGTTACAAATTGGCACCCAATGAATATTTGTTGGCACGTCATAGATTGACGTCCAATGAATGTTCGTTGGAACGTTACAAAATATTCGATTTGAAATTTGAATTACTTTCCATTAGCTACAGCTCTGCTTTTACTGAATCTACAGACTTCATATAGGTATAAGTACATCATTTTTTAAACTTTTTATAAGCTATATTTTTGCTAAGAATATGTTTTTCGATAAAATACTTACTTTTTGAGCTATTTGCGGAAAACCGTCTAAAAACGTGTTTTTTTTTATTGAAAAAATATAATCACTAGCAAATAACTCGATAAGTATTGACTTTGTGCAAAAACTGTATAAAATAAAATTTGCTTAGAATTAGCCAGTTTATTCAATTTTTGACTTATTTTAAACGCATGTTTTTTCACACCCGAGAAGGAGTGAAACTTACCCCCATGTCAAAAGCACGCATCGGCACAATATCACTTTTTTTCTTTGCCGTTAGCTATGTATATGCCAAATTTCATATCAATCCAAGCGGTTCTTTAATATTTACAGCAAAAAGCGCGAATAAATTGACTAAAAAGGAAATAAAACTTTTCGAAGCATCAATAAATCAAAATATTGGTTTCTCTTACCTTTATTAAAGTGATTACCGAAGCTATTTTTACTTTTGATTAACAAATACTTTGTTTTTGGATACTAAAAGTTGACTACACACTATAAAACTTAATACTAAACACTTAAATCAAACTCTAAAAAATAACACGACCAGTAAATAACATATAACACACAATATATTAACTTAAAAACCAACACGCTACAATTTTAATTTAAACAGACTGACAAGTTTGGACCTGTACAATGAGAATCCGTCTGGCTTAAGGCAATAAATTATATTTAATAGAATCTTGACGAATGAGAGGGTGAATATCAACACGTGCGTTTGTTTACAGTTGGGAATTTGCTGAACGAATGTACTTTAGTATCCACCATAGAGAGACATCTACAAAGTTCTAAAGTGATGTTTGGTTCATGTTGATAAGTGCAATAGTTTGGAAATAAGAGTGACACTTATTTGAAAAAAACATGATTCCGAGACAAAGCCCATTAAAGAAAAGAGCTGCCGTCATTCGGCCCGTTTGAGCGGCCTGATTAACTGCTTGGTGCATATCGCTCACCCCTCTTCTCAACCTACTTCAAGATCGGGCGGGCTTTCGTGACCAATTCTATACTATTTTTTAAGAGTACATACAATCTTTGAAAAAATATCGATTTTTTGAAAATTATTTGGAGGAACCTGGCCTTTAGTATTTATTTTACTAGTTAGTAAGAGTTTTGAGATGGTTGGAATCTCCATAGTCGTAAAAGAGATAACTCAAAAAGGTGCAGCCGGGAAAACTATAATAATCTGCACAGATAGCAGACAAGCGCTATTAACCTTCAATAGACCACGTGTCACATCAAGGATAGTAATGGAGTGTCACGAGTCATTAACTCAAGCTTTTGATGGTAATAACATCATCCTGAGGTGGGTTAAAGGACACAACAGGAATAAAGGCAAACATATTGCTGATCAATTAGCTAGGAAGGTAGCATGCCTTCCTAGCTAATGGTGCAAGACTCTTAGGACATGGGATCTTTTTGATTTGTCGCAATATAATTATTCAAGAAAATATATCACAACGATAACACGTCTTAGATTTGGCCACGCCTGTTATCCCACACATCTCCATAAAATTCATGTTCTTGAAAATGATCTTTGTCAAAATTGTGGCAAAAAAGGTGATTTAGATCATATTTTTTTCGAATGCCAAAAATATAAGGATGAAACAGATCAATTTATCCAACAATTACATGATCTCAATGTACAGGCTCCGTTTAATATCCTTAGTCTCTTAGCTATTGGAAATGAGAGAATTTATAATGCATTAGTAAAATTTCTGTCAGGTACCAAAATAGTCTTTTAGTGTCAACTATAAAAAAATATATGTATATACAAAATTGTGATGAGCAACTTGGACAGTCCATAGCAAAGCAGCTGTCGAATTGAGTAGATAGCTGCTCAAGAGTTTGCTGTGGAACTCTGAGAACCTCATCATCTTGTTTATATGTAAATATAGATAAAAGGGAGATAATACAAAAAAAGTAGTATTTTGAATTATATTATGTGTACCATTTTTTGAACACACTGATGATGTTGAAAAGATGCTATATATTTAACTTTTATCCTATTTTAATTTTAGCTCTTAAAGCATATTATTCAGCTCTTCGTTATTGATATTTTATGGACCTTACGGTAATAAAATTTTTATGTTTAAGATAGTAGTCATGTTGTAACTGGCTGATTGACACCTAGTCTATGCCAAAAAAAAAAACACTACAACAATCGCGGAAATTGTTAAATGTCATTCCCACACGGAAACCGTGAAAAGATGGGAAGAAGGGCAAGGATGTAGACTTGCCAAGATAACACTAAAGCTATGGTTTGTTAGAACAGTGAGCGACGCATTACTCAGTCAGTTGAATGCCGCACACGTTCTTTAAAATCAAAGGAATGGTTCTCTTTGATAACGGTTTGTTAGATTCTGCTTAGTTGAGTTGAGCTGAGCTCACATCGTACACAACTATACCGACATTTTAATCTAGGAAACAATACGCAGAGCCCCTAGAGCGCTATACTCTAGGGGAGAAGGACTGACCTGGCTGGCTTAAAAATCACCGATATTTATAAGTGTTTTACTATTTATATGGTATTTTCAGATTAACCAGCCAATAAGAAAATTCGAGGCTGGGCGATGCGCATCGGAGTGCGTTATAGTTCTCAGACTATGGCACTCGATGACATCCCCGCCGCTCTGGAGACTCTGAGGCTGGGAAAAGGAAATATTTATTAAAAAAGTAAAAAGTACACAAATGAAAATAGCGATACACAAGAAAATATGTGAAACAAAAGTACTTACGTATTTAAACATATAAAAATAAGAAAATGTTATTGATTACCGCAACACTGCATAAAAACACTACACAGGGGAAGGTCGGTGGTGGTGACAGCATCTGCAGGTCCATCCTCAGTCGATGTACTCATTCCCTTCGGCGGGTTCGTCTTCTTCTAGGCCGTCCGGATCCCATCTGCCATATCAAACGGGGTTTCGTAGGCCAGTGTGCCTAAGCCTACGTGGTTACGACCACATGTCTGTAGGGAGGCAATGACTGGACCTACTCCGTGATTTCCGTTGGCAGCTGGGGCTTCTAACATCGAAGAAAACCGGCTTGTCGAAGGTATCAGCACACTGAAGGCCTCAGGTCTGCAGAAGGCCTCAATGTCGGCATGTCAGCTGGATGCGCTAACATCCGATGCTTCTCCCCGCTGTCTTTTTGAATCCAGCACACGGTGGATTCATCTGTGTGCCTGCTGTGCAGGTGGTCGTGGGCTCGAAAGCTAGTTTGGCGCCATGTCGTATTTTTGTGAAAATAAAGGGTGTAAAACCCATAAAAACCACAAAGTACGCTCTCTTGATGTTACCTTGTCTTTACAAAGACAAGGCAAAGTAAAATAAACCACTTCTAAGGTTAAAATAAAATAACAGGTACAGTTGAAAAGAAACTCAGCCACAGAGTCTAGGAAACAATACGCAGAGCCCCTAGAGCGCTATACTCTAGAGGAGCCCGAGAAGGACTGACTTGGCTGGCATGAAAATCACCGATAATTATCGGTGTTTTACTATTTATATGGTATTTTCAGATTAACGAGCCAATAAGAAAATTCGAGGCGGGTCGATGCGCATCGGAGTGCGTACTAGTTCTCAGACTATGGCACTCGATGATAGTTCACTAAGAGACATCTTTAAGAACAACTTCCCGATAGCTATGAAACGGAAGACATTTGACCAATGCGTTCTTCCTATTATGATATACGAAGCAGAAACTCTCACGTTCACAAAAACAACAGCACTGAAAATGCGAGTGGCACAAAAACGCATGGAAAGATCGATTCTCGGCGATGACAAAAAAAGACAAATAAGGAATCAAGACTTAAGGAAAAGAACAGGTATCAGTGATGTCGTCGAACGTATAGCCAAGCTGAAATATAATTGGGCAGGTCACATAGCGAGACTGAAAGACACAAGAAGGACCAGAGAACTAATTGACTGGCACCTACGAGAAGACAAACGCGACAGAGGACGACCACCAACACGCTGGATGGACGACATTAGACGAATATCCAAGAAATGGCAACAAGAAGCGCAGAACCGTGAAGAGTGGCGAAAAATGAGAGAGACCTATGTCCAGCGTGGACAGAAGAGGTTGCATTATGATGATGATGATGATAAACATCCTGAGTTAATCGATAATAGTATAAAATTTCAGGCAACATTGGTTTACCTGAGGTACAAGGTCTTAACCTTCCGTTACTCGCGCCAATTTTCTGTGATCGAATACTCGCGCACGGTGCAGAAGACCGGGTCCGAAAAAATGGGGTCAGTAATATTTTTTAATTTTCTTTTTTGAAAATTGTGTACAATTATATTATTTAATGAATATATGATCATATAATTTTGTAGATATGCGTTTGTTTCAACATTATATTAGTTTAATGAAAAGTTTACTAATTTTCATTGTTATCCATTTATATATACAAAAAACTTTAAAAATTAAAAAAATACATTGAATATTGTTAAATTTGTTTACTAGGAACTTCAAGAAATTAATTCAATGCACAAAAAAATCAAAAATGAAGAGTAATTGCAACAAAAAAAATAAGAAATATTAATTAAAATTTTCATAACATGAATTACACAATGATGTAACATGTTCCAAACACAGATATTTTGTGCATATTTGGCAGTAATATTTTGTTTTTCTATTTTTCCGCCAATGACAAACAGCACAGCGACCTTGAGTTCCAGGTGTTATGACTGGTACTTGTTCCGCTGGTAAGCCACATATCTCCCTAAGCCTCATTCTGATGGTTCTGGGTAAACTGGTAGACATAGCCCGTACTTTTTGGTAGTCACTGGTTAGTAACATCGAGAGTTTTAGTAAAAATTCTTTACGTGGTGTTTTAGATTCTTCATCTAGACTAGTATAAACTACAAAAGAGTTTATTCCTGCTACATTCAACAAACTAAAAAAAGGAACCATGGGCCATCGTCTTGTGGCACGGGCGCAATTATATTGCGCGCATAATTTATCTACCACATCTACTCCGCTCTTCGTTTCATTATATGTAATTATCATCTCAGGTTTACCTGTGGTAGGGTCAATATCATCTCCATGGTGCATTGTAGAGATAAGTAGGACGTTTCGATTTTTTTTTGGCATATGCGAAACCAAGGTGATTCCGTCATTAAATCCAAACATTGAAGAGCCAATGCACCTGCCGTTATTTTGTATAAATTCTAATGGCAACTGTTTTTTATTTTTTTCGAATAGTACCCACTTAAGTTAATTTTTTTGATTTAAGGCTATCAGCTAGAGGCACACTACAAAACCAATTATCTACAGTAACATTCCTATTACTCCCATAAATGTGTGCACAAAGTCTTTCTACTACGTCTTGCGTCGCTGTACTAACTTGAAAAGGGCCATTTGGGTGTTTTCCGACGTAAACTTCTAGGTGGCTGGTATAGAATTGTTTTGCATCGGAAATGGCAAAAATTTTTATACCATATTTATTCGGCTTGCTAGGAATATATTGTCTGAAACTACAATTTCCTCTAAAAGCTTCTAGTTTCTCATCTATGGTAACATAACCAGAATGAGAATAGCATTTTTTAATGTTGCTGTTAAATTTTTCTAACAATGTTCGTATTGGAGCCAGTTTATCTACCTGTATTCTTTCATGTCTCGTGTGAATGTTATCAAATCGCAGACATTGCAAAAGAAATTGAAATCGAGGCTGACTCATTACAAGTCGAAAAGTTTCAATGCCAGTGCCATCTGTTCTCCAGAGATCCTCTAAATTCATGTGATTTGCTTTTCTAATACCAGCAAGATAAAGGAGACCAATTAGGGCTTTGATTTCGACAATGTCGGTAGGTTTCGCATCTCTTTGTCTACTGTAGTCATCTGTAACACTCTGAATTTTTATATTTGTACAGTCAACAACTAGATTTAGCATTTCTTCATCAAAAATGCAATTCCAGATGTCAATAGGTGTTGAGTGAGTTTTAACAAATTGTTTTATAGCTGGCAATCGTACAAATATATTGGTACTGCGTGTTCTTACATTCTTCGGTGGACAATGTTTTTTCCACTTTGTTAATTTATCTTTACCCATAAAGTACGGCTCCCTTCTGAAACTAACATTTTCTTCCTCTGTTTGATCGGCTTCAAATTCCTGTTCAGTATCACTACATTCAGATCGTTCTTCTACATGGTCAATTTCATTTTGTTGATCATCATCTTCATACGTTTCCTCGTCAGTCGATACTTCCTCAAATAATTTTAATAATCTCTTTTTCTCCTTCTCGTAATCCATATTCATATATCTATAAATATACAAATATATAAACATTGAAAATAATAAAAAGAACTTAAATCACCTTGCAGAGTAAAACTTTCAATGTCTGATCCAAAGCACAAAAATGTGTCCACAATACTCGCACCCGGTGTACCGGACCGTGTTGAATAATAATAAAATTATAATGCTCTTTTTTTACACTACACACAAACTTCAACGATAAGTGACCGACGACTGAAGAGGAAGAGGTACATGAAGCAGCAATTCCAAATCCCCACTACAATCAGAGTTACTTGAAATTATTTACAGGACCGGTCTCATACACCGTGCGCGAGTAACGGAAGGTTAATAATGGGCCAAGTCAGATAAATTTAATAATATTTATGAGCACACTAATTTAAGTAAACCATTTTCTGCTAAACAAAATTTAGCATAGTTATTCTTTAATAAATATTATAATTGAGACGAGACTAAGATTAATGGAGTGATTCAAATCGAGTATTATTTCAAAGTGAAGTCAAAGCATAAATTGGATCATTTATGGTATACATAGTACAAAATTAAAGAAGAAGAAACTGTAGAAAACATAACTAGGTCGTTGTCTTTTGAGTAGCAAGATGAAGAAGATTTTTATTGTGTTCATACAAAAATTTATCAAATTCATTTTTGATTTTTTTTTAGGATAATGATAGGTGCAGACTCGAATTCAGTAATATCTAGAATAGCTCTCCGAAACGATGATATTCAAATCGGAGAACAAACTGTAGCCCAGGTAACTACTGCGATACATTCTTTGTTTTGGTAGGATATATAAATTGTAAACATAGTGTTTAACATTTTTATGTTAAATTTATACATTACTACAGTTGTAAAGATAGCAGTATTTTTGTATTTGTGTACGAATTATATTTTGAATATTGAACAAATAAATTTATTTATAGGTGTTTCAATCTGCCAAAGAACAGCTGAAATGGTCATTTTTAAAGTAAGACATATATTTTAATACAAAAAACAATGTTAAATGTTACACATTTATTTCATATTATAAAAATAAATTTATTGTTCCTGAAACCTGTTTCGATATTATGTTACATTTGTTAATCGACTTGTTGCTACTCAACAATTGCAACTGATGTTACTAAAAAATGCTTTGTTACAACAGTAACTATATTTTGTTTTCCACAAGGAAAATGAAATTCGTTTAGTCGGCTGTATAACACAAATCGCAAAAATTTTAATCAAAAAATCCTTTATGAAATGTATAATAAAAAAAATAACCCTTTCGGGCTACATCACAGAACATTTTCGGAATAACTATTCCATCATCAGTGCTTTTACCTGAAATAAGTATGACCACTTTTTAAAGTGATGTAGCCTGAAAGGGTTCTTTTATATTCGACGCGCTTTAGGATGAGGAGAACAAATATAGACTTCCGGTTAAAAAGTTATGACCGGAAATTTGGCAAAACGGTCACGTTGGGTGAAAACCTATGACTTCCGAAGTTGAACTGTTTGTTTTATTTACAGTTTTTCCTAACCAGAGTATGGAACCAGGAACAAATATGGTTACAAACTAAACAAACAATTTTCGTTCAATGTTACTTTATTTCTTATTATAAAGCAGGGATTTCCCCATTAAAAGTAAATTAATATCAAGCTTTATGTGGAAAATGTCTAAAGTAGCGAATGAGAACCATTTTGCACCTCCGATTTTTGAAGTGAATGCCCAGAACCGCCGAGAGAGGGATGAGCGAGCCCCGGTAAAAAGTGAAAAGCAAAAAAAAAAACGGGAAACGTGATGTTGAACAAAATACAAAATATACTTATTGAATAAATATAAATAACTTTTAAATACTATCACATCACATTCATTTTAACAATCAGTAGATGTATATTGTACCCCCAAAATGAGGAGGAGGTTAATGACCAATAACTAAAAATAGCTGAAGGTCAACGAACTGAGCATCTGGTGTGTCTAGACAACATCCGGTTTGATATCTGCAAAAAATGAGGAGATCTATGACCTAGACACGTGGCAGGGAACATCCGGTTGGATATATATCCCGTGTGCAAAAATGACCAGCAGGACATTGTATATACAGTAAAACCTCTGTTAACCGAAATAATTGGGGGAAAGGGCGTTTCGGATAACAAGAATTTCGGTTAAAAATAACATTGTTTTTTTAAACATTTTTAACATTGGTTAAAATATTGGTATTAAAAAATACTATGCGGTGATTTCGTAATGTTTTCTAATAAGTAAATACAGAATATGTTTGACAACGATGTTTTGCAGCTATATATCTCTATCGTTAATTTGCAGAACGTCGTGAGTTTGCCTCATTTCATCGTGCGACGAAACGTAAAGCAATCTGAAAAGGACAAAACTTTATACAATGACAACAAAAATTAAGAACCTACTCGTGTCTCTAATTAATTTGGCCTACTGTATAAAATTCTTTTCCTTAAGGCATTGAAATCTCATCGGCGGTCTCATGCTACCTGTTGCCTGTTGGGTCGTCATCTTCGTCGTCTGATATGCTCAGGTTGTCTGGATGAAGAACCATACCAATGATGACCTGGTCGATGAATTCACTTTCTGAGTCATCGGCTGCTAACCACTCACGTATCTCTTCTTAGTTAATTTCGTCACATCCCGGCAAATTTTTTATTAAAGGTTTAATTTCTTCTGTCGTTTCTTTACCAGTTTCTTCTTCAGGATCGTCGATCAAAATCCTATCAAAAAGTTAGTTCCAACATTTTTCCAAAGTTGAAGATTTGATCTTGGCCCAGAACTCAGCACATCGATAAACAACATGTTTCATTGTTGAACAATTGAGGATTTCAGGAACACTTTTGGATTCATTCATCCCCTGTAATAACAGATGTTTTAAGAATGCTTTTCTTTAATGTCTCTCGAATGCTCCTCTATAATGTCTCTCGAATGCTACTCTATAATGTCTCTCGAATGTCTCTATTACTCCCTGGTGTATCGAATGTCTCTATTACTCCTCGAATGCTCCTCTATAATGTCTCTCGAATGTCTCTATTACTCCCTGGTGTAACAGCTGAATTAAGCTCGTGACATTCGGTGGCAAAATCTGACAATGATCACTATTGCATAGATTTTGAGGGTGGTTGGTGCATTGTCAACAAGCAAAAATGCATTGATGGAAAAGTTTTTTTTTTATTTTAAAAAGGATTTTACACTTGGGACGAATTAATTTTCGAGCCATTCTGAAAATAAAGTGGTCGACATCCATGAGTATTTTTTGCTTCTATAAAAAACTGGAAGTGCTTTTTCTCAAATATATTTAGAGCTTTTGGTTGTTTTGATTTCCCAACACACATAGGCATCAATCGGTAAGTGAAATTAATGGAATTGTTTACATTTTGCGATAAAATATTACGTTTTATTGACGAAATTATTTAAACTGTCAGCCGTTTCGGTTAAACGATGTTTCGGTTAAGGGAGGTTTTACTGTAAAACAATAATTTTTAAGGAACTTTTTTCTGGCTGGCTGAATTGGACATTAAATAGCCGCAAAAAATGATTTTAATTCCGGTTGGATATGTTTTGGTTCCTTTGGTCATATATATATATATATATATATATATATATATATATATATATATATATATATATATATATATATAAGATGGTGGTATTCTTGACTGTTGATTTAAATATAAGTTATGATTTTTGAGGATGCAGTCGGTTTATTTGGCCCACAAGACAAAGAAAACTCTTTGACTTACTGTCAAGCTTTCGAATTTTATTTAATTCTTTTTCAAGACATCTATAAAAAGAAATATAAATTAACTAGTTAAAATTGTTAATTTTCTTACTTACTAGTCGTGAGATTACAGTTTTTAATATTGTAGGTACTCTACAAAACAAACCATAATATATATAATAAAATTTTTTTTATTAAAAATAACTATATTGTCACTATATATGTCACTGTCATGGTTTGATTAATGGACATATATAAATGAAAATACAGTTACTTTATGTGGAAAGCAAAACCAGTAACAATAGTTTTTATTATAATTTATTTAATTGTCTGTAAAAAAGTTTTTGTTTGTTTTTGTTTTTTTTTTGTTTTGTAGAGTACAATATTAAAAACTGTAATCTCACGACTAGTAAGTAAGAAAATTAACAATTTTAAATAGTTAATTTATATTTCTTTTTATAGATGTCTTGAAAAAGAATTAAATAAAATTCGAAAGCTTGACAGTAAGTCAAAGAGTTTTCTTTGTCTTGTGGGCCAAATAAACAGACTGCATCCTCAAAAATCATAACTTATATATATATATATAATATATATATATATATATATATATATATATATATATATATATATTAAACAAGAAGGTTCACACAGAATCTTTATTAAGCAATCAATAAGCTTACAAGTTACAAGCACTTACAAGTTACATGACCCTGGCCGGAATGGCGGTACCGGATGACATCTGTCTGTCATCGGTCTTCTTCTTTTTTATCTTATATCTAACATAATATATTACAGGATATATATATCCCGTGTGCAAAAATGACCAGCAGGACATTGTATATAAAACATTGAATTGGACATTAAATAGCCCCCCAACAAATGATTTTAATTTTACTAAATTACTAAACAATAATTAAATAATAATTTTAAATAAACTTCTCTTCTAGCGGGCGGGGTTGTCATAAGGCATGTTCATTGTATAAAGTAGTTATTCCCGCCAAATATGAAAAAATAATTATTCTCATACTCAGACGGAAATGCAAAAACTATCTATTCGTTCACAGTTTATAGAGAACTACTTATGTGGCTTAAAAAGTTTGTTTTTTAGACAAACATTGCAGCAAATGAAATGCAATATCTAGTCACATGTTGAGTGGCATTTGGCGTAACAACTGCTTGCTATTATTATGGAACATAAAAAATTTATTGTCAATGTCTCCAGTTATAGCAAGCACAGAGCATGGGCGTACTAAGATATATTTTCAGTTAATAAACCTTTTAACCAATCAATTTATGTATTCATATTTTTTAAGACAACATTTTTTAAAATAGCCATATATAATAAGGTTCGCATACGTTGTTTCTGTCTAATCAACTTATTGAAAATTTATTCAATAGAATTTTTTAGCTATACTTTTATTATAATCGCTTGCATGCATTTTTTCAATTATTTGGGTATGCTTCAAAAATAATCTTTATGACTCAGATATTTATAAAGTGTCCATATTTTCAAATAATTGTCAGAAATACTAAAACTAGGTAAAACTGTTTTTCCTTAATAACAAATGTGATAAAACAAGAAAGAGTAACACATGATATTGAATAGTGTGGGAATTCATTTCTTGGATGCAAATTGGTAGAAAAAAGTTGTCGAAAAACATAAAAGACGTGGGACATAATTAATAACTTTAACTGAACCCCCAGACATACTGTGAGAAGATAACAAACACAGTTAATGGTATTTTTTGTAAAAAATTAAGAGACTATGCAGAAACATAAAATGCACAGACTGTGAGAGTAAAAGTCATATGGATGGTGTTTTTTGGAAAAAAACATAGATGGTGATTCGGTTCTCACAGTTGCTTAAAATAATCCTTATTCCATGGCGGGGAGCAAAGCTTACAAGATAAGGGCTTACGATATGGGCGTGGTCTAGCTATCCCATTGGTTGGTTCACTCTCCAGTTTGTACTAAGAAGCGGGTGGGATTTTAAAGATTTATAGGCCTGCTTATCTTTACTCTTTCTCAGTTATCTATTAGTTTTATTAAAATTAGTTCGTACAGGTTCTGTCTATATATTTCAAAATGAAAGTCAAATGTGTACCAGAATGTTCGAAATCAAGTGCAAAAATTATTTCACATTTTAGGAAGTCCCCCAGTGGAAAAAAATTTACCGAAGTGAAGTTAACCAGTGCAAATGGGGAAAATTTAACGGGATTAATGTCAATTCCAGTGTCGAACTTACCGAAGGAGATTTTAGTTGTCACTGGCCCATGGACCACAAGCAATTTGAGCAGCAAGTAATGGCTTCATCCACCCCAATAATTGACC